GTCTGTTGCTGGGTTACCGTACGCCAGTGATTGCGCGATAATACTGGCGTTCGCTACGCCGCGCACAAGTTCACACCACTCGATTAACGTTACGCTTGCGTAAGTCGTTGTGTCTGAACATAGCCATAGATCATGGAGGTATTATCAAAGAGTATAAATAGAACAAGAGAGCCAACAACGCTCATTGAGAGCGTAAAAAAACGATACGCTCTACGCAGCTAGTGTAGGACGCCAACTAACGCTTATATGTGTTTTATTACCCAGTACTCCACCGCGCACGGTAGGTTTGTCTGTTTATCTGTTCTCCACAAGATACTGTACTTTTGTTTTCTGCTTACTGAGTTTATAGCGGGCGTACTTCTACCGCGCTGCGCAGCGTTGCACTGGGTAATAAAAAGAATATACAACCGTTAGCGGGCGTCCTACACAGGCATGACGTTTTTACGAACGGTACTTTGCTCTCTTGTTCTATTTATACTCTTTGGTATTATTGAGAAGTAGATCACTCGAAAAAGCTACGCGCACGCAGCGCTATGCAAATGAACCAAGATCAAAGCTGCCGCAGCGCGTGAAGAACGTTGCGCGATGCCTTTGAAGTCCGATGTGTTCCCCGTTGTCAAATTTTCAGCAGGCATGGTTTACCAAAAAATTGAACATGGCAAAATGGAGAGCACCTTTTTTTCTCGATGCGCACTACATACAGTCAATCACTATGGCTGCGCAATCGTTTCTATTTTGAAGCTGATACATTTATCTCTCATAAAATATCAAAAATAATATTAATATTTTCCACCAAAAAAAGTTTTGAATTTAATGGAACATTTACATGACCTTTAAAAGTATAGTATATTTCAACTTCAATTTTCATAAATTGGCCAAAATTCGCTAATTCTAATTTTAACAGATATTAATTAATAAATGATTGAGGATTATAATTTTATTTTAGGGTTAACGAGGGTTAAATATCCGAAAAATCAATCCAAAACCTGAGTATTTTTCAGTTTTACGTTGACTTAGCTTTATAGTCGAACCAATCAATCTTTAGACAGAATTATAATGAACACAAAAGTAATTTTAACATAAATATTTTACGGAATCCGTTCCTGAAATATACAAATAATAACATACTAAAAGTCCGAAAAAATCTAATCAGGGGAACATTGTTCATTATAAAGTTATTTAATGGGTTAAAATCAAACGCTTTATTGCACAACTGCTCTGCTGGAAGCGTATAAATGCATGTCGTTGCTAACAAAAAAATGGGGATTATAACATAGGGTAATACGCCCGCGCGCGATCCAAAGGCGGGGAACACATAAATAAGCCTGGTTCTCACGAGAGGCCTAGTATCCGGATCGGGAGCTAACCGTTAGCGCTAACCGTTAGCACCTGCGTGAGAACGCCCGATCGGTTAGCGCTAACCGTTAGCGGTATCCGGATACGCTAACGGTTAGCAAGCGCTATCGGTTAGCGTTGAGGGCGTTTCTATCATCAACCAATCACACGTACGCGTTTACAATTTCCAGTTTCTTATTGGCCAGTGATTCGATCATCATATTGTTGGTTTCCGGATCGGGATCGGGATAATCTCGCATGAACGCACGGCAGCTAACGGTTAGCAGGATCCGGATCCTGCTAATCGTTAGCTACCGTGTGAGAACATAGCCATAGGTTTGTCGCGTCAAAGGGATCTGTTGCCGAGTGATCTTCTCAATAATACCTCCATGTTTAGATTTAGATGATTCGTTTCTACAAAATTTCTTTCTGCCCAGCCGATGTGTACGTCCGAAATAGCAAAGCTCAATATCGTGAGAGATCCTAGATGAAATAATGTCTAGTGATAATGAGTCTGTGTTTTCATTATTAGTCTCAGGTACACCGTGTAGGAGGAGGCAGTTTAGTCTGCTATACTGTTGCAGTTCACGTAGTTTCCCCTCATGGCACGGTTTTCGGCTACTAAATTATTGTTATGTTCCCGTAATAAATCGGCAATGACCCACGCAGTTGCTTCGTTGTCAACGGCAACGCTATTAAAAACATTGGCACTAATCTGATCATCAAAAATTGTTTTGCTAATCGCACATATCAACGCTTTGTTGTTATATATGATTATGTTCTCGAAATTCTAGGCGAGAAAAGGATATGGTTACTGATGCCTATTGCCACGATCTTGATCAACTATGGATCATCAGCCTGAAGTTGAAAGGGGCCTAGCACAGACGGGTGTCGGTCAATCCGTACCCAAACCAACCCTTACCCATACCAACCCGTACCCATACCAACCCGTACCCACTTTGGTCAATCCGTACCCATGTTTGGTCAATCCGTACCACGTCATTTTGGTCAACCCGTACCCAAAATATATTTGTATCTGTACGATCTCGTGCGGTCTGTAAGATTGTCGTTGCCGCTAATATTATTAAGGTAAGTTTTCTCTCTGGGCCTTTTCTCTTTTCAATTTTATTTTCATTAATATTCTCTGGTTTTAATTTTTTCTTTCTCTTTTCTTTTGTCTTTGGGTCTATTCTTTACTTCTTTATTATATATTTTCGCGATGTTGGTGTTTCTGTTGTTGGTGTCACTATTTTCCCTAAGAATCTATTTAGCCAATATAAAAAACTCAGTTTTTTTTTATGATTGTATATGTCAAAGTGGAACAATAAATAGGCGCTGCCGTTTAAGCCAAGCCAATACCCACCTTTCTTCATGAAATTTTAAATCTTGTTAGACTCTCTGATACAGTTTGTCGTCACGCTATATCCTATTTTTTTTTTTTTTTTTTTTTTTTTTTTTTTATCAAAGCAAAGCTTTTTTTTTTTTTATCAAAGCCTACTAACTACAGTGATACCTATCTAGGTTAAACCATGATAGTATTACTAGTAACTCCACACTTCAACTATGTTTAGGGCTAATCCACGCTACAACTATCTAAAACAAGATTATAGGAAAAGGCCATGTGTGCGCCAAACTGAGAACACATAATATAGTAGCAACAATTTTTGAAAGGTCATACATTTTATTAATTGTAGTAAAGAAGTGAGATAATCATATGGGATACTATTACGGGCTAAACTTTTAAATAGACATTATGTCCTTACTTCTCCTGTACACTTCAAAATAAACTCGAAAGTGCAAGTAAATTGTCCGTTGTTCCTTTCTGTTACATCAATTTGTCTGTCAACATCGCCGTTTTCGTTGCATTCTACACCATCAATGCTGTCATTCAGCTGTTTAAAAGAATATATTCTATAGTTAACATATAACTGTAACAGTATGAAAATTAAGTAAGTCGGTATAAAATTACAATAATCTACATAAATTTAAATAGATCTCATGAAAATATGCTCGGCAAAGTCTTTTTAGGCCTACGCATGCACACACACACAAGTCTAAAGGAACATTAAACCACATTCAGCAATGTATGGATTTCGTGTTATTTTGACCAAACCCTTTCATTTCATTTCCTTTATCGTCTCGAAAAAAAAATTAACAATAACCACCGAGACAGGATTCCCAGCTAAACCTAATACAAAAGGCACACAATAATGATGTAATAATAATAATAATAATAATAATAATATTTAATAAAAAAATAACGCTAAAAAGAAAAGATCGACGTTTCGACTCCTTCATGGTGTCATTTTCAAGATCAAATGATGAAGTATAGAATATACAGCAACTGTAATTAATAGAAAAAAGCTATAGGTGCTGTATATTCTATGCTTTATCATTTGATCTTGAAAATGACACAATGAAGGAGTCGAAGCGTCGATCCTTTCTTTTTAGCGTTATTTTTATATTAAATATTTATACAAAACGTACTCTTATTAATAATAATAATAATAATAGTAATAATAATAAATAAATAAATAAATAAATAAAAGCAATAATTATATTTATAATAATTGCGCCTACCTTGTTGTCACTGTAAGGTTCGAAGGTACCTTCGCCATTTAATTAATCCTACAATTTAGGCCTATTATAGGCCTAAATTGGTGTACTATAATAGTACACCAGGTATTATGCAACGCTATTAAATACATGATACTTACGTCAGTGGCAGTAACATGTAAGACTGAAATGTTTGCCTAAATAGTACAAAAAAAAATACGTAGACCTAACTAAAATGCAGTTAATTCACTTACTATAGAATGATCAAAGTGGTAGTCACACGCAATTTTGTGTATTTCTGAATACAATTTTTGAATTGATTGACGCATACGATACTCATTGCGTACTTTCCATTCCTTGAGCTCGCTTTCACTATGCGCACCTGTGCAGTAAGGTCGTTCACATGGCGGTGGCCTTTAATAAAATAAAATTAGTATTTAGACAAAGGTCAGTTGAAACAAGCTTAAACGTCATAAAATTTTCCTGGCCACTCGGTTAATAATATGAAAGTACAAGTAGTAAAGAAAGAATTTTTCAAAAATAGTTCGAGAAAAAATAGAACGAGAAATAGCAGAACAAAAAATAATTACACAATTAGACTGTATAGAACTGGGCCTTAACATTTATCGAGGATTCCTCGCACATTACCGTCAATAATTATTTCTCATCATTATATACATACATATATATATATATAGAATATATATATATATAATTATATATATATATATATATATTACTATAGCTGCCTTATTGTTATCTATATGTTTGCCTCATATAGTTACCATACTGTATTTACTGCCAATTTACTGTTTTTATCACTGACTTTGACATTTTCTCTATGCTTTGACATAGACTTATTCTGTATGCTATTTCCCACAGTTTCTTATCATTGATCCTTTGTTCTTTTAATACTGTTTATTTAGATTGCTTATTTCGGCAGACTTGTATGCTTTGTACACCATTCTTTGTTGTTTTAGGACCGCCCCCATTATTTCTGTTGTATGTTATAGTTGTTTCCCATCTCATTTGTACAGTCTCCTGATGAAGTCCACTACGTGGACGAAAGCTAGAGAATAAATTATATATTGTCTCAAAAGTGCTGCTGTTATTTACTTTATATTGTTCAATAAGATAGTGTGTTCGTGCATATTAATTAGCTATGCAGTCTATAAAAAGACTTTCACTTATTTTGTTGTACTTGGGATAGGTTGAGCTAAACGTGTCGACTTTTTGGTATTTTGTTTAGACGAATGGTGTATTTTATTAACATATAGTCCATTTGGTTTATTCCAGTGCCTATTTCATTGCTTATGAATAGAAGAAAACATATTATGAGAAGAAAGCCAAATTGGAAGTTTTACATCAATAAAAGTTCCTACCGTTCACACATACTGTACTCTCCATTTATTACATTCAACGGCGGCTTGCGGTAAAACCATTCTCTGTCGCTGTCTGCGCGTATCTTATCATGATGTTCACCACTGGCAACATGCAACTCTACCTCGATATCAGAATCGAATGTTGTCTCGCAATACAAACATTCAAGCTCTACAACAAAATGCTTGTATTTGATGTTAGCTGCCACACAATATACAATATAGGCCTAAATCTGCATTTATAGTTATTCATGTTTGTGTATAAAGTATTATTCATTCAACTATCCCTATGATAGTAGTCCATTCATATTTAAGAGAATATAACCAACTGTGGAGTAAAATTGTACTTGGTATGTACATTGAAATAACCAATGAGGTAATATCAATATTCACATTTTGCATTTACAAAAGTAAAATCAAGCATAGACTTGGACTCGGAAGAAGCTGTCCATGGATAATGTTTGTTTCAGAGTTGAAGAACTTAATACAATTTGAATTTTTATTAAATAACGATAAAGCAAAATAAAAAATGGTCAAAGATCGATTTTCGTAATTTAAAATATACCATTGGCATTTAAGCACTGTACCCTTGACAAATGTGTGTTTGTATAATGTTTAAATGATTTTAGTGACCACTTGGTTTATTTTTATTGAACAAAAGTGGTGGTAATTAAAGAAATGAAATAAAAATATAGTATTACTTTTAGATGTTAATTATTTTGAGAAAAATGTGGGTTTGATTCGTATCACATACACACAGAGCCAAGATTAACAGATAGTCCTGGACTTGCATCGTGTGTGGACCCTAAACTTACGGTTTTCCATTTTATTATCACTACGTGCTATTGTTCTAACACAGTTTCATTCTGTTTCATTATTCTACAATTATCATTTTAAAATAACTTGTCTTTGATGAAAAGGGAGGCTTCTATGCCTCCTCTGGGTTTATAGCCTCTCTACCCAACACTGATTCATTCATTTACCTTATCAATTTTGTTTAATATCTATTTGAAATATATTTATGTATTTCACAGTTGAAATGTACATAGATTACTATACTTCTTTACATAAAAGAGAGTTTCAGTACTTACATACACTTACTATGTGTATGGTATGTATGTTTGTACAGCATGTGTGGATATATATTTTAATATTTTTAATTATGTGAATGCGTATCGTATTCGAACAGAAACCGAAAGGTCTTGGGTTCGGATCCCGATGGGGAATAATGTTTATCTCAAATATTATTATCTGTATTTATTACCTGTGGAGTTGTATCATGTTACTTACGATTATTTACTGTGTACTTCGCAATACATTGTGAAAAAATAAATATTCCTGGTAGAAAAATTATACTGATATAATTCTTTGATAACAAATTGTGCAAAAAATTATTCTGCGATGGTTGAAATAAAGGTGGGATGCACCCACGAAAGACAAAAAAAAGAGAATATGACCATAGATTAATATATCAAGGCAACGGAACTAGAGTAAGGTGATGTGGCAGTGCATAAATCTATCACATGATTTCAGTGTCCCAAAAATCGGCCCACAATAAGGATATTTAAGATTTGGCCTCATAAATTGATATTAGGGTCTAAAATACTATTGTCGAACCAATCAGTAATTTTTTTTTAATCACAATGCATGTCAATGTCGTCATGTGCTCTCACGTAACTA